AAGCCCACGAATTAACAGCAGCTTGTGCTACTGCAAACATTTCTGTGTTCTCTTTCCTGGTTGGAATGGGCTTCGAAGGCAGAAGGTTTGTTTTTATTCCCTCGACCTTCTTACTGTTTATCCACCCATAAAACTAGTGGCGTTACAGAGCTACTCTGACCGTGAGGATGACAGGGTGTGCCTGTCATCTAGGGAAAGAGGCCCCTAGGGAGATGGGGGTGGGGAGAGGAAGCAAGTGTTATTAGGAATCTTGCTTGTTCCCAGCCCTCCTGTCATCCGCTCTGGGGAGCTGAACCCCAGAGCAAACATCAACACTGCTCCCAGCTCTGTCCCAACACCCTGTGATTTAGCCAAGGTGAGGGGATTTGTTTGCCTTCCTCTTCCTAATTATCCCCTTGGTGAGAAAATGAGAAAAAAGTGTAGGCTGATCACAGAGTCTTTTCCTCCACAATTATGCTGGGAATTGGGGTGGCCCTGTGAGGCTGCCAACTCTGCAGAACCCCTGCCTTGATGACAGGGAGGAGGCTATGGCTAGGGGCGCAGAGCAACAGGACCGAGCACAGGGCCAAGGCAAACAGGCTGGGCGGGGCCCCGATCCCTCCCCACACAGGACATGAATCACGGAGCTCCTGCCCTGTGGCTCCCTCACATACACTGCAGCCAGGGAAAGCCGGGGACAGCTGGGCTGAGGGAGCAGCTCTTCACCTCCTACTTCCCTCCACAAGGCATGGGGGTGGGGCAGACAAAGGACAACAGACTCCCCCAGGCAGTTCCCCTCAAGAACCTCCAAGCTGTCAGCTCAGAAACCAATCACATGGAAGTCCCCACAAGGCCTCTGCATTTGCCTGAGACGCAGCTGAGAGCTGCAAGGCCCTTGTGGGATCCCATCCCACCACGTGTGCCATGTGTCGTTGACAGTCCTCTTCGGGCCGGAGAGGGGTAGGCAGTAACTATGCTCCTTTCCCGTATCACAGGGAAACAAGACCCAGAGCTATTCAGTCGGGAATTGTCTTTTGGTCCTACAGCACTGTGCACTGTAGGAAGCATCATCACACATGCGTGGCGCCCTGCCCGGACAGGGACGCTCAGCCTCATGTCACAGAGGAGGAAGGGAGGCTCTGGGGTGATGTGCCTGGAGGAGACAGACACAGATGAGTCTGCTCCATGGCCTCAGGAGGGTGCAGCTCACCCGGATGGAGCCATCCAGCCTCGAAGGAGGTCCCCCCGGAGCCTGGCCTCTCCCACAGGTCTGGTGCTCGATTTCTGTGCGGCTCTCAATAGCTCAACTGAAAGCATTCATAAATTCCCCTCCGCTGGGTCGGCGAATACATGCCAGAAGTTTGGAAGCACTTGGCCATCCTCCTAAACCTGTTTGCCCTGACTTGCCTTCTATCCTGGGATGGAGGAGGAGGTAAAGGCTTTTCAAAGCCAGGGCTCCCCGCTGATCACACAGGTCAGGATGCTCAGAAAGAGCCTCATGGGGTTCCCACAGCTGGGGCTGCATCTGGACTGTCCACACGGCCTGCGGAGGACACACCGCAAGGCCTCTCACTTCCCCAGGCCCTGGAGCACCTGGCTTCCACCTCTGGGCCTGGAGGAGTAGTAGGTGGAGGTGAGATAAAGGATGACTGCTCCATCATAAGCAGATGGAGGCACTCCCTAGCACCCGGGCCAACCTGGACCCTTGCCTTACTGAAGAATTGGGGCAGCCCTGGTGGGTCTGGCTCAGCAGTTAGGTCACCGGCCCGCAGACCAAAGAGTCTCGAGTTTGATTCCGGTCAAGGGCACGCACCTTGGTTGCATTCAGTCCTAGTCTGGGTTGGGCTCATTCGGGAGGCAACCAATGATGTGTCTCTTTCACACTGATGTTTCTCCCACTCTTTCTCTCTCTCTCTCTCCCCCTCCCTCCCACTCTATCTGAAGATAAATGGAAAAATACCCTCGGGTAAGAATTAAAAAAAAAAGAGGGCATTTCTTTCCACAATGCAGTATTTAGAAACTTGTTTACATTACATAATACTGTGGCCACACAGCAGTTATCTGTAAACACTCCTATCTGACGAGGAAACAAGAGCTTATTCCTCAGGCTTTCCTGCTACTCATTTATTGAAAATCCCTTTGATCCTATTTAGGTTAAAAATAACCCCCAAGGCAATACACACACACACACATACACACACACATATATATATATACACATATATATATAATCCTCTATACTCATCTGCACAGAAGGTCTGGAAGGTAATACAGGACACCAATAACAATGATGATTCCCGGGGACACCACTAGGTTTTGGAACGTTGGTTGAAATTCAGGTTCATCCATTTCTTAGTCGCGTTCTCTTAGACAAGTTTCTTTTTTTTTTAAAATTAATTAATTTATTTTTGTTACAGATGTTTATTTTTTTCTCCTTTTTTGTTTATAGATGTTTTGTTACAGATGTTTCTCCTTTTCCCTCCCTGATTCCTCCTCCCCCTCCCCCTTGCCCTGCCCCAGCTTTGTTGTCCATGTCCACTGTTCATGCATACATGCATACAAGTTCTGTGGTTTATCTCTCCCCTACAACCCCCTCTTCTGGGGATTGTCAGTCTGTACCCCACTTCCACATCTCTGGGACTGCCCCATTCCTCAGACTGTTATGTTCATTATATTCCACAAATACGTGAGATCATATGATACTTGTCTTTCTCTGTTTGGCTTGTTTCACTTAGGATAATACTTTCCAGGTCCCTCCATGTCGTCTCAAAGAATAAGAGAGCTTTCTTTCTTACCGCTGCATAGTACTCCATTGTGTATATGTACCACAGCTTTTTTATCCATTCGTCTTAGACAAGTTTCTTAACCTTCCACAGACTCAGGAATCAACTAGGAAATGGGGAGAATGACACCTGCCTTGTCGGATTGTTGTAAAGGCCAGAGATAACACACACCTGGTGCACGGGAAGTCCTGGCTATGCATCTTCTATTTCTGCGAAAGAGGATGGCAGCCCAAAGGCCACACCTCCAGCCGCCCTGTTGCCGGCGGGGATCACTCATCATTCTCTAGTCCTGGGTTTGCATCTGTGGCTGTGGAGTGACCCCAGCCTACGGGCCATTTAGTTCCTGATGGGGATTAGAGTGTGTTGGTGATTCTCTATTTGCTCACCACCACCTGTGACCCCAAATCCACTTTTCGCCCTTCTCCACCTGCTCTGTGGCCTGGTGACTAACCTCGGGGGCTGCCTCACCAGGTCTCTGGAATCTGCTGCTGGGGGCACCAGCCCAAACCTGCGTATGTATTCCCTACTCTCCCCACTTCGCCAAGTCTCTGGCAACAGCTCTGTGCCTTGTCTAGCTCGGGCTCCCGTGGGCAGCCCCTTTTCCAGGACTGTAGCTCTTGCTGCCTCTGTCAGCGGTCCTCTCATTATGCTCTTTTCAGATGAACCCACCTGAGGATTTCATCTGCTTCCTGCCAGAGCCTGACAGAGACAACGGGAGGAGGCTTTCTCCGTGCTAACACTTACAGTGTTAGGAAAGATACTGAAAATAACTGGAGACAATTAAAGCTTTGTGGAGACGGAGTAATAATGTCCAGTTATGGCTGGGGCTCCGATTTTCATTGCTGGAACCTCCAGGAATTAACGCAATTTTCACCTAGGTAGAGAAGCCACTGAAAAAGAGCCTGAACCGAGACATCCTGACTCTTCCTGCAGCAAGGAGCCCGTTTCCCCCTCTCTGAAGTAATAAGACCCCTGCGGCAGGTGAGGGAGGGAATGGCATCCGATGACCACCCCAGAGTCTGTGCGCCCTCAACCAACACATCATCTGCGTCCCCCGTGGGGAGGCTTGGAAAGGAGCTTGACAGCAAGAGGTGGAGGAGGAGACGAGCACAGCCTCAGCTCCGGACGGTGCCCTCCCTCCCAGGAAATGCTCCCACGGTGATGGGGACACGGGGGCCTGTTTCAGCCACTGACCGGATCATCAGCCATGGGAATCAATTAGAATTGAGAGAGTGGCTGTGAAAACAAAATGCTGGAAAGAACTGTAGCTTATGAAGAGACTGTGATAAATTAGAACTCATTGCAATATCATCAAATACCAAACAGAAGCTTCTTTCGACCCTTTAGTGTGCAAGGGGGATCTCTCTTTCTCCTTGCAGAACCCCCAACAGCACACAGCAAGAGGGCAAATGTTACCCAAGTTTGAAATAATCCAGAGACAAATTCCTAAACAACCTTAAAAAAAAAGAACAAACACAAATATTATTGGACACACTGGGTAATTTCATCCACAGAGAAATTACCAGTAACTTTATCACTTTCAGAGGAAAACAATCTCTTGGGCCCAGTAACCAAGACACCAAGAACACCACATCCTTCCAGTGCTGTCCTCACCCTCACACACAGCACGGCGCTTGCTGACAACCCGTACCCCCCCACCCCCACCCCCAGCCGGCGTTCCATCCTACACCTACTGGAAATGCAATCAATAGACCACGGTGTGCGGCACTCTGATGTATGTAGTCCAATTCAGGCGCAAGAGAATAAGCCTAACTGCTAAGTGACTTGTAGCCTAGACACGGCGGCTGAGTCCTGATTCTTATTCCACGTCATATAACGTTTCCTTTTTCTCTGCTAAACCTCCCTCCCTCTTGCTGAAGAGGGAAGATGTGTGGGTGGTAGGATGAACGGTTCAGCCTTGTACGTATGACTTATAGTCGTTATCCAAGGAGAAGCAAAACTGACAGGAAACGGTACGTGTACCAAACCCTCACAAAATAACACCTAAAGACATACTGACAAACGGTTTCCCAATATTGATCAGCTTCCAACCAATCAGCCAATCTGTGTACGTTTTTGTTCCAAAGTAGAATTCTGAACCACTCGGGGGTCTAGCGTTCTGACTGGGTGACTGAGCCTGCTCATTCTGCAAACAAAGCTGGCTGCAGAGATGTGAAGCGTGGCGGCAGGTCACCAGAAGTGATTTCCAAAGCCCTCGGGCTTGGTGCTCCGTCTTACCGGTGGAGTCAGCCCGAGAAGCCCTGCCACCCATCTGCTCCTCCGCAGTGATGAGCTGCAGGTCTGTGTACGAGGGGCCACAGCTAGGACTACTGGTGTCTTCAGAATGTGTGGTCCAGCTGCTCTCGGAGGTCAGAGGGCATCTCCCCAGCGAGGTCAGGGAAGGGCACGTCCAGCAGGGCATGGTCAATGGCAGGCCTGGGGAGAGAGCACAAACCAAAATATAAAGAGTGGTACTTAGTTTACCTTTGAACTTGTCTTCCTTTGATGCCGCTCAGATCCTCTGAGATCTAAACAGCTGCACAAGGCAAGGAAGCATGCAGGGACTGCCGCTCGTGATACCACACGGGGGAAAGCAATGGCTGAGACCCCAATGGGAGTCAGCATCGAAATCAGTACAACTGAGGTCTCATGACCCTCAAATCAAAACGTAAAATCTTGCTAAAGAATGGGAGTGATTTTAGGGTCTACCTTTATGTCTAAACTTAGATTTCAGCTCCATTCAAATCCAAACTACACAAGTCTTACAGTTTCATCCTTACTCTCACATTTTCTCCCTTTTTAGTGGCCAATAAGCTCAAGAAAACTCTCCAGTTTACACTGCAAAATTAGGTCTACATGGGGTTAAGCGATAAGAGCAGGTATGGGGTATCTATGTATCTGCAGATGAATGTGCTGGGCCCCGGCCTGCCTTGAGCTGGACTGTAACTGGAGAGGCTGCACATCCTTACATGTACAACCGGACAGTTCCCGGGGCTGCTGACCTGCGATACAGGAAAAATATCTTTGAGGGGAAAATGCACAGGGCTTGGCTTTATCTCCTTATCCCTGAGCACCAAATTCAGCCTTTCAAAGTCACTTTAGAAAGTTTCTTTTCTTTTAAAAGGTTTTTCTAATGTTCCTAGTTTGTCCAGTTTATTGCCTTCCACAAGGTTTCTCCATGGTCTTGCATAAGAATCTTATTGCAAATTTACTGACAAGTACTGAAAAGAGCAGGGATGGGAAAGGAAGAATAAAAAGAAAGAAACGAGGGTTTATTGAGTACCCATGAAATGTCAGACACCTTCACAGGTGTTACCTCATCCCACCCATCAGTCCTGAGAGACAGGTAGTGGTCTTATTTTACAGAGTAGGAAACAGGTTGGTGGTGAAGTAGCTGATCCAAGAAGACTGAATCAGTTCTCCTGGCCCGAGAATTAAAATTAAAGAGTTGGGTTAAGACATAGAAAGAGAAAATTGAGATTTAAGAGTAGAGAAAGAATAAATAGTAATGTGTGTGGTATAGTATAAATATAAAACCACAGAGAATTTTCATTCCATATTCTCGTAGGCATTTATAAGACATACTGGTCTTTTCTCTGTCATGGTTCAATACCACTGTGTGGATGGGAAAAAAGAGGTTCTGTGGAAAGTAACCTCACTGGGAAATAAGATCATAAATTCCTAACTGGGCAGGTCACTGTGGGTAGTCATGCCCCAGGAATATTACTTCTTTGGTAAAGGAGTTATTTAGGACTTAAGCAAGCCCTGTCCGTTATTTCATTATTTCTGTGCATCTAGGTTAACACACCTTTTCTTCCCCCCAGGCTTTTTTTTTTCCAATTCTCACCCGAGGACATTTTTGCATTTATCTTCAGATAGAGTGGGAGAGAAGGGGCGGGGGTGGAGAGAAATATCGATGTGAGAGAGAGACATCAACTGGTTGCCACCCACATGACCCCAACTGGGGCCGGGGACAAACTGCAATGGAGGTACGTGCCCTTAGCAGGAAATGAACCCGGGACTCTCCGGTCTGCAGGCTGACGCTCTAACTGCTGAGCCAAACGCTTTCCCCAAGTTTTAAAACTTCTTCTTTTTTTTTTTTAATAATTAATTTTTGTTACAGATGTTTCTCCTTTTTCCCCTACTGATTCCCCCCTCCCCCTCCCTCCCTGCCTTTTCCCCAGATTGTTGTCCATGTCTACTGTTCATGCATACACGCAAAACTTCTTGTTTGCATATTAAAAAACTGTGCATTCCAATAATTAAAGTCATTTGAACGCCAAAAAGGTGCCCTGACTAAAATGCATTTTACCGCCTGCAGGACAGCCTGCTTTTACTCTAGATTTCGCTGTTGCCACCCAGCTTCCTCCTCCACCAACATGCAGGTTCCTTCCCTTCCCTGCCAGCCAGACAGGCCAGCGGGGGAGAGAGGCAGGTTCGTCCTCTCTGACGGCCTCGCTGTCGTCAGTGGTTCTCTGACGTGAAAAGGGCAGCACAGTCGTTTAAACGGATCCAACCTCTGCATCTCACAAAGTTAAACAGCTAGAAGAAGTAAAACTAGGAGGCAAAGCTTGAGGCATGTACAGTGCAGACTGGCGGTGGGAGCCTCACTAGGATTCGCCTGCTTGCTTCTCCTGTTCAATCGTTTCTTTTGAAGGCAGTGGGTTTCTCTCTTGTTTCTGCATCTTCTTCAGTTTCGAGGTATCAAATTGCCCAACCTCAGCCTTATGGGTTTGTCAGACATGGTTGCAGAGGTAGCAGGGCAAGATTCAGGAACGAGGAGTCCGATCTGCTCAGTGGCTGCAGCCAGTTAGGCTAGCGCACCTCTGAAATGCCTCTTTTCAGACCCCGCCTTCAAAGGCATGGCCATCCTCAAGAACAGAGTTTCCATTTTTTTACTCTTGGGTTTTGAGTTTCTTTATATATTGTTAGATATTTGTGCTTTGTTGGATATGCTGTTTGCAAATTAATGTAATTTACCACAATAACACATTAAAGGAATAAAGGGTATATTACCATCATAATAGATACAGAGAAAACACTGAGTAAATTTTAGAATCTATTCATGGTCATAATTTTTGGTGAACTAGAAACAGAAGCAGCTCCCTAAACCTAGCAGAGGTAACCCTAAAACCCTATGGTAAGCAGCAGGCAAGGTTGGACAGTTTTCCCTTGAAAATCAAGATCAAGATGATGGAGCCCATTCCCTTCTATTCAATATTATGTTTGTGGGCACAGCCTGTAAGGCAGGAGGTAGAAAGGAGTAAAAACAAAGAAAAAAAACTTTCATTATTTAAAGATAATATTTCTGTGTATATGAAATAACCAAAAGACTACTGATAAATTACCAAAGTAATTACTTTAAAAAGGTACTTGAGATTTTTTTTTACAAAAATCAATATATATATATAAATGAATTGCAGTTCTGAAAAAGAGCAAGAAATATTTAGAAAACAAAACTTAAAACAAGATAGCTTTTATAATAGCAACATAGTAATAAATCTAACAAAAGATATGCAAGGTCTCAGGAGATAATTCTAAAGTTTATTAATAGACCATGGAGAAGACCTAAATAAATGGCAAAATATATTATATTTAGGGATTGAAAGATTTAATGTGGTAAAGATGTTAATTCTCCCCAAATTGGTTTATGGGTCTGTTGCATTCTCAATCAAAATCCTAGCATGGTTTCCCCCCTCATATTAATAAGCAGAATCACACTATTTAGGTATGAATAAAATAGAATTTTTAATAATATAAATATATATTTAAAATAAGTAAAATAATACTGGGAAAATACTACATGGAAAAAATAAAATTAGGTTCCTACTTCATACCATACAGAAAAAGGCTACATGAGAAATATTTCACAAGACATACAGCTAAATATACTCATGAGAGTTCAGGATAGGGTTTTTTTTTTTTTTTTTTTTTTTACCAAGGCACAGAAAGAACTAAGTATAAATGAAAAATAAACAAAGTTCATATCATTAAAATTAAGAACTTTTTTTCACCAAAAGGCACCATAAAGAGAGTGGAAAGACTATAGGAGATAATAATTGCCATATATCAAATCCACAAGAAACTCCTAGAAATCAGCAAGAAAACAGAGAGAGACCCCAACATGAATATACTTGAATAGGCATGATGAAAGAAAAAATCCAAATGGGGAAAAGAAAAAAATAGATGCTCAACTTCATTAGTAATCTAAGAAATGCAAATTAAAAGCACCTGAAATACCATTAGTCTCTCCACTTCCTGTTCTCCCTACCTCCCCACGACAAAGATAGGAAATGACAATCCCAAGTGTAGGGAAGCAAGTGCTGCGGCCTCAGCCTCTTTCTATATGGCTGATGGGAGAGTGAACTGGTGTTATCTAATTAAGTTGAAGATAAACACACCCTACAGCACAGCAATTCCCCTCTAGCCATTTAAAAAATAATTTTTCCCCTTTATTGATTTTAGAGAGAGAGGAAGGGAGAGAGAGATAGAAACATGGATGAGAGAGAACAATGATTGGCCACCTCCTGCATGTCCCCCACTGGGGATCGGGCCCACAACCTGGGCACGTGTCCTGATTGGGAATCGAACCGGCGACCTCTTGGTGCATGGGTACAATGCTCAACGACTGAGCCACACCAGCCAGACTCCCCTCTAGCCTTTTTATACAAGAGAATCACTTACACAGGTTCACCAGAACTTATGTTTAGAATCTTTTCAGAAAAAAACAAAAACAAAGGGAGTATCATAGAAGCACATTCTAATTCCCAAAAAGTAGAAACAACTCAAATATCCATCAATAATAGAATAAATAAATGAATTGTGCTATATCAATATAATGGAATTCACAGCAATAAAAACTAAAGGAACTATCACCACAGGTAAAAACATGGAAAAATCTCACAGAATGTTGTGTTCAAAAAGCAAGCCATGAAATAATACATATTGTATTATTCTATTTATATAAAGTTCAAAAACAGGTGAAATGTGCCCGGCCGGTATACTCAATGGATTGAGCATCATCCGGTGGACTGAGAGGTCCCAGTTCCATTCCCATTCAGGGCACATGTCCAGGTTTCAGGCTCAGTCCCCAGTGGAAGCGGGGGTGGGGGTGGTGTCGTGTAGAAGGCAGCCCATCAATGTCTCTCTCCCTTCCTCTCTCTCTAAAAAATCAACAAAAACAAAACAAGTGAAATCCAATTATATCATTCTCAATACATGTGTAGGTAGGATAGCTGTTAAGAATCTTAAGTAATTCAATTAGTATCACAAAACCCAGAAAAGTGGTGATACGGAAGGAGGAAAGGGGACATCTGGAAGGAGTGATCAGTAGGGAAACCCAAGGGCTTCTGGGTGATGACCACATTCTATATATTAAACTGGTGGGTTTTACTATTTTTCTTTATAATTTAATATACATTTAAAATATGTTCTGT